CTACGAGAAACATATTTAAGATTATAGAAACTAGGTTTCCCTCCTTTGAATATTTGCGCGTAATACATGTGGGTGTCAACGATATTTAGGCCAATTATGGGCATCGTTATTATGATTTGCAAGCGCAAATAGCATTAAAGTTACAAGTAAGACTAATTTGATTTGATTACACACAAACAACAAAAGTGGAACTAGACTTTGTGTCAGTGTAGTGACTCATAGAACCGTAGTTTTCACGAATTTAGAGGGTCTTGAAACAGATCGTTTTTAGGTTTCCGTACCTAAAGTGTAAAACGGGAACCTATTACTAAGACTCCGCTGTCTGTCTGTCTGTCCGTCTGTTTTTCTCATGTACCGTAATATTCAGAATTATAATAATTAACGAAAAATTTATATAATAATTTGTGCGATGAAAATCAAGCACAGCGTTAAGAAAAGACATTGAGCCGTCACACAAATCTCTAGTAATAAAGTTACTAAGGTCTCGCTCTAGTTTCTATTCTTTGGAGATAAAGAATCATCGATGCTTAGGCTTCGGAGGCCGCATTTTGTGCGCTTCGGGCGGCGCGTGGCGAACGCATAGAGCCGTTGTCCTTATCGACCCATTTGTCGCCCGGCAACCCGCCCACCGCCCGCCACCCTGCCACAGGGTACAACAGCTACCACTATCGGGTACACGCAATATAGGACAGGGCTGGCGGCCTATTGAATTTACACTACATTATAAATAATCAGAGCATCGTTTTAGCATCGACGACGGTCCGGTATGACAGAACCAACGACAGCCAATTGCAGATTAATAATCTAGTTGAAACGCGCGTGATTTGTTAACCAGTTTAAGTTTGAAAGTAATGAAGGTTTTAATATATATTGTTATAATAATGGTAAGCAACCTTTTTCCAAAGTTCAAAAATAATACAACAATATTGAGAACGATAAAAAGTTACTTATTATTTTTGTGTTAAGTACCATTAAGTAAGTAAGTTAATATAAATTTGCGGCAAAGCAGGTTTATTTCCTTAATTAACGAAATGTTTGCGTACATATAATAATCTGATTTGATTATTATATGTATGAAATTTTATTTATTTCATTCATTTTATACTATACACAGCGAAAAATGGAATATAATTATTCTAATAGGATTTTTAAATTGTTTTCATATGAGACGTTAAAAATCGTATTGCAATAAGCTTATATTCGAGAAATGTCTTTTTCGTGGGAGTATATGAATGTATCACCATCAAACATATAACCTTGACTTGTGTGATAATGCTCACAGTCCCAACCAACACGCGTAAACCGTGCGTTACTTTAACCGCGATAATTAGAATAGCTAATTTGTCCTTATTAAATTATATTATAGTTCACTAATAAAAATAAAAAAAAAATCATTATGAGGTTTAATAGTTAATTTTAAAATTTCGCAAAGTTTTTTAGCTACCCAACGATAGATTTTCTCATAATTTTTTTGGTAACTCGAGTAAAATTCCAGTCGAGCATGGAAGACTCGGCCTAGACAATGACTTAGCATTTAATGATTGGTTCAAAGTATACAACTTTTACGAAATATCTGACTGCTCAAAGTGTATATTAGAAACAAGCCCTTTTTGAATGCTTATTAACTTGAGCAATCGAATTTGCGTGTTTGTTCGTGGTTCGCGAGAATTGCGAACGTCGACACTTTGTAATTCCGATATCGCTTGCTAAATAGTTTTTTCTATGTGAGAAGGTTGCAAGCGGGTTGGCGGTTCACCTGATATTAAGTGATAACCGCCACCCATTGACATGCCATTTGCACCACCCGTACGGTCCGTTGCGTACGGTGCGTTGCATACGGTGCGTTGCGTACGGTGCGTTGCGTACGGTGCGTTGCGTACGGTGCGTTACGTACGGTGCGTTGCGTACGGTGCGATGCGTACGGTGCGTTGCAGATGCGTTGCCGCCTTTTAATACAGTGGGTTGTAAAGGGTCCCGGTTACCGCACTCACCAGATGAAACGCAGAAGTACACCACTTCCAATTCACGCTCGTTTTTTGTGACCTGTGTTTCTTGGCGAAAACTGTTGCGTGTCTACCAAAGTTAAATAGTTTTTGTTGCGTGCAAACTGCGTTGATCATGAACATGTAATCGTCACGAGTTTATATTATTAATTGTAATGGTTATTCCCATATGTGGTTTGTTTAGATGATTTACATTGATTTAGATAATTTAACGTTGCAAACTACTTGTACTAGACGTATATGTGGTTGTAGGTAGTATTGCTAAGTAGATTATGTTGCAATTAACTTTTTATTTTGTATTGAATTGAATGGGAATTGATTGTATTACTAATGGGAATTCAAAGCCAATGGATTGAAAATTCATTAATTGAATGTCATGATCCGTGCTTAAATGTAAAGCCGGCCAAGTCCGCGTCGGAACCGCACTTAGGGTTATGTACCATTATTTATAAAATAGGCAAAAAAATCATATCTGTAGTAAGGGAGCCCATTTAAATGTGTTTTGTTCTGTTTTAGTACTTGATGTTATAGCGGCAACAGAAAAATCTTCTGTCAAAATTTCAACTATCTAACTATAACGGTTCATAGAATAAAGCCTGGTGACAAACGGACAGACTGAGTCTTAGTAATAGGGTCCGTTTTATCCTTTGCGTACGGAACCCTAAAATTGGCGTTTTAAACTTCTCCACTTCTCTTCCTTTTCCACTTCTCTTCCTTTTATTTATTTTTACCTCGCACTTTACATTCAACATTTGATTAATTATTCTTCCCATCATATCTATAGTAGAAATGCACCGATGGGTTTTTATGAAACAGTTATGCATTAATGGGAACTGACCCAAAAGTCTCCGCTAGTAAATAACTCGAGGATATAATATAATTCACGAGCTTCTGAGGAATATTTGTGGAATTACAAATACGTTTTTAATTTTATTTACAACAACAGATTGCTGTTTTATTAAAAGTAGAATTTAACTACTTTTTCATTTACTGTTCATTGATTGCTTGTTTTTACGCGAATATTATATACAATAAATCGAACGTTATTGTATCGTAATAAATTCCGTAAAAGAGTTTCATTTAATACCATTTTTGTTTTTTCCGTAGTTGCTACCTATTTTGACATGATTGAATAAAATAAAAACCAAACTTCTTTGCGAGTCTCGGTTCTCAGACATCGTTCAGTGACATCGGAAGCTATTACACATTTGAATTGGTCATTCATCAGATTAATCGAACTAGAACAGAAGTCACAGTTTAATTAGTAGTCGCTAGTAAGTCTGTTGTATGATATACTTCTATTTTATCACGGTTACCGTTTTATGGGATATTATGGCATTTCATTCCCATATTAATTTCCGTCTTTCTTATCTACTTTTTTTTCTCCTTTTGGACACTGTACTCTCAACTAACTTACTTTTAGGTTTTATTTCAAGTATTCAGAAAAAATCTCCGTACAAAATGATCGTAAAATGAATAAGTCCTATTAAGTTTCACCATTGGGGGGATAGTTTTTACGACAGCTGCATCGATTTGAATTACTAATCGAGTACGATTCTACAAAGTACACGAATTTCGTGAACAGTTTTAATCACATGTTGCAATTTATTTACCGTCGGAAAATCAAAGCCTTACCTTATTTGAGGTGAATTCAGTAGGGTGAGGTAGGAGGGTGGTAACGCACGCACCCCGCATCTGAGCCGTACCCTAATATACTCGTATATTGCATACGTAAAACAAAACCCGACGCCACCCCGTGGAATTTGAATAGGGGGGGTAGTTGTGCATGTTATAATCTACCCCGTTTCGGGCGTGAATTTGCAGGGTACGTAGCGATGTGCGTATCGATCACGTTTTGCAGGCGTCGTATGTATGATTATATATTTGTACTCCGCGTCCAACAATGAGCGTTCCCAACAATCACATGTTAAAATTAACATTGCCCGATGTGTTAAAGCCCAACAACCACATGTTAAAATTAACGATTCCCGATGTACCACGATAAACTTACCACCTGTCAAGTACGGGAGTTGATATGATAATTAAAGAATAGGTAACAAGGACATAACTTTTTTCACTTAACCCACCACGTCAGCAGCTGTTTCCGACGTGAAGTAAGACTTGTAAAAGATTAATAGATTAGTAGCCTAACTTACAATTCTTTGTTAACAATTCTATTTGTAGTGACAGCAAAAATATGTTATTCTGTGATTTGCTACAGGTTCTATGATGTAGATGTCGAGAGAAATGGCTGAAAGCGTGAAAGGAACTTTTCACGTTACGAATAATCCTTAACGAGGCTCCGATTTAGGACGAAATTTAAAATACATAATAATTCTGCGACCAGTGATAGAGTACTTCTTCGAGATAGTTACTGTGTTCCTCTAACTTCAAACAATAACAGTGTTATGTAGCAAATTAACCACGATAAGTTCTGTCGTGAGATCCACGTAAATTGATTATGGTGGAATATCGCTTTCGCTTGTAATTAGACAAAAGGGCTGCATGCGTGTGTACGTGTAAGTTGTTAAAGCTACTTTGAACATCCCCTTCACATAAAATCAATGGCGTATCCATGTAGTGAATCTTCATTATGTCTTACACAGACGATAATGATTACGTGTGTGTGATAAGTGAAGAATGAAAAACTGGACGTTTGTATGTATTGAAGTAACAAAACATTCTTATAAAATTGTCGTTAGAAACCTGTCAAATTTCAAATTATTAAATCAAAAGAAAGTTAGAAACTCGATTTTCCAACGACTAAATACTACAGTGACTCGTGGGTCGAAGTCGTGAGCTGGCTGTCATAAGACATTTTACTTATATTTTCTATAATAAAACGTTAGACAGTTTTGTAGACAGTATTATCGAAGTAAATGTACTAACGAGCCTGTTAAAAAAGGGACCGTTTGCGGGAGTTCGAGCCTGTGCCTCCTTCGGCTTACATAGGCATTGTCCACACGTACAGCCCTGACGGTCGAAACGGTTCACCTAGTTTCCAGCCGCCCCCCTCGCCCCGTGCAAGATTGATTTTCTCTCGCGCATTCGCTTGCACTTTCCCGGGGGCAGATATGGCTGTCCCTCTCTCGCTGGGCTCCCACCCGCGCCGACCTTGAAAGGGAGAGCAGGGGGGTGCACACCGACGTCTAGCCGCCAGGGCTGCGTCACCCCCGTTTTCGCTTCCTCTGGGGTTTTTCCCGCGTCGGCCGTGAACTTTTTTCGCAATTTTTTTAACATCGTATTTATACTGCTCATGAGCTGTGTATGAATGAATATCAAAATACGTTAATACACATTATATTGATAATGATGTGAAAGCGAAAATTAATAAAAAAAACATAAAATGTCAATTTGGCAACCCTGCGTCTGTTGATGAGTGTGGGTGTGCCTGAAAACGGGGTTAGTCGAGTTCCCCCCTCTTAAGCTTTCACTTGCATCCTGTAGAATGTATGTATAGATCTATAGATAGCATTATACTAGACTGCGTGCTTTGAGTTACTTACGCAGTTTCATTTGAAAATGTTAAATTTGACGTACGTACACTTATGTATGTCAATTATGTATTACTTAAATCACTCAATAAAGATAGTAAAGAGTTTGTGTATTTAAAAGTATTAACCATGAATGAACAAAAACTACCTTAAAAGTAAATAGTTACGTAACAGCTTTTAAATGTCCCACTGCTGGGCAGAGGTCACTTTTGAACGGAGAGTATAAGTGCGTAATCGACCAATGACTTTGCGTAATGACTTTGAAAATATGCAGGTTTACTCACGATGGTTTCCTTCACCTTTGAACACGTGATAAATTGACACTTAAAATTAACAATATCATTGGCGTTGGCATCGGGGATCGAACTCAGGTTGCTCGAGTATATTGAATTAAAAACGAGCGCTTTGGCTGTATAGTATTATTAAATATTACCAGATGTATGTACATCAAGGTTGAAAACTAGTTGTGTGGTTATAACGACCCCCCAGCTATAGTATTATTAAATATTACCAGATGTATGTACATCAAGGTTGAAAACTAGTATGGTTATAACGGCCCCACAGCTCGTTTGCCACTTTTTCACCTAAAAAATTAATAAAACCTTGCTTACTAGACATACCTTAACAACATTTTCATATAGATGGCCGATCGGTCTGTATAAAATATTTGAACATTTCGTTAAGTCCGTCTATTTTCATCGCGTCTTGTCAATAGTGTTGTTGTGCGCAATTTATCTTAATTATTTCTTTTTAATAAATCGTAGATAATTTGTCATCAGTAAAGGTCTATTGTGCCAATCAGATGTCAGAAGTTCTAGGAAGGTTGGGTGGTCGCAACAACTGCTTTAAAATTATTGGTGTGATTCGACACGAAAAAAGTAAACGATAGGTTTTGCCCATTTAAAAGATCTTAAAATAGGTCAAATTGGTACAATGAGAATGAGCTATCTCATTCGATGAGATATATTATCTTATCCCTTTCTATCGATCCCATCCAAGCGCAGAGTAATTTAACGCCCAGTAAATTCTCGGCGAAGAGATGGTACTGAGGACCGAAAAAGTAATTTGCCCTTTAACCCTTTGATGTTGCATCGTTGCACGATGCCTGAGCATCCAAATATAATTAGACAGAGGTACATAGGTGCCAAATGAACACAGTTGAGTTGACTCAAGTGTAATATGCCAGGTTTCATAATTAAATGGTGCAAAATTTAGGAAATATAATCGTAATTATGTTATATAAATATGGTTTGCACATTACAAACATATTTAGATACAAACACATTTAGATGTTAATACTTAAACATATTTTAATAATCTGAAATGGGATAACAAAAATCCACATCGATCGCACTTCATTTCATGTATATAATTGAAAAAAAAAAAATGTTTTGCTTGTTTTTATTTATATTCATGTTTATTGTTCATCTGATGTTACTTCTTCCCATATACATATGTTTCTTTTTGTATATTATTCTTTATAAGATGATGAATCGGTGGCGCAGTTGCTAAGTTATTGGCTTCGGTGCCGGGGGTTATGGGTTCGATAAAAGACAAATAATTGTTCCGGATTTGGGTTTATGTTCCCACGGAGGATTGACGTAAAACACCTAGCTAAAATCACTGACACTACACACCGGACTGACACACCACTACAAGATGATTCACATGAAGTGCCGACCCCATCGAGGTGGGATACGGGCAGGAGGATGATGAATGAATAAATGAATGAATATACTTTATTGCACACCAAAAATAAAACAAACAAAAATTTAAATTTAAAAATTAAAACCTATGACGATTCCTTATAGTTATTTATTTTCTCTGGGTGTAGGCACACAGATTAAAAATGTTCAAATTCTTCAAATTCTCTTTAATTTATGTGTTTTCGTATGAAACATTTTCGTTCTAAAGTAATCGCAATAATGAAACATTTATTTGGAACACTTTCTAAAGAAGTAGAGCTAAAATTAGTTTTGGATCATCATGATCAGCATTTCAGGTTAGGCTTCCCCCACAGATATTTAACTATTTATATCTAATGTTTAATCTTCCTTTCAATGTAAATAGGGCCGTTATAAATTGTTTTCCATGACTTGCGTATTTACTTGCATCGCGTAGTTTATTTTTTATTTCAAACGTTTTCATTATCTCTAAATTACCATTTGATTTGTTTTTACTCAATGTTTTCGACAACGTTATTTTAATGCATGTATGCGGAAACTAATTTCTTACATTTTGGAACTTGAATCGCCTTCGTATGAAGGACGCAGGGCCGCATATATAAATTACTAATAGGTTCTATTTAGGTAAGGTCGGATGACGTCAACTAGAAATCAAAGACATAAAGTAGTAAATAAAAATTAATCACCAAATACTGTTGTTTCCATCAATACTATTGTTATTACAACTCAAATTTTTCTGGTTGCTCGCTCCAAAGGCTAGATTCTAAATATTCACTTTAATATTTTTTTATTCTTTTTTTAGTATTTTTGATTAGTTTGTATTTTTTATTTAGTAAAATAAATACATCATCTGTGAAAATTTCAACTGTCTCAGTATTAAGATTCATGAGGATGTATCCCTGGTGACAGACGGACAGACAGACAGCGAAGTCTTAGTAATATGGTCCCGTCTTACCCTTAGGCTACGGTACCCAAAAAATGTGCCCAAGAAAGAGAAAATAATAAAGTACTTAATTATTTTGTCTTTGTCTATTTAAATATAGATATTCTTCTTCTACATTATACCTACCTGAATTTAATTTAATGGAACTGTTTTGACCTGGATTGTTCTCTCTTGTTTATTATACACGAGTAGGTACCAAAATTTGCGGCTACTTCGCTAGTAGATAAGACAGTCAAGCTCTTATGAAAAAAATATCTGTCAGTTTGTTTGTATGTATTAACTTCTGAATGGCTTGAACTGATTATTTCCATATTTGCTATTTAGCTGACACGATGATTACCAGTTTATGATATATATATTTTCTATCTTGTTTTACTACTAGGGATAACTAGATAACATTTCATTACCATTTACCAAGAAAATTACCATTCACTTATTCAATGTCGCAATTTTACAAATTTCATCGGTTATTTCAACTTCAACATAGTATAATTTCTATGTAAATATATTTTGAGGTGTATTTACATCACTAATTTAGAGAAAACAATTGATTTATAAATTATTCTGGTTAGAATTAATGCAAAACAAGCGTTATAGATGAAAATGTAAGATTTTTTTAAAACGATATAATCGTGCATAAAACAAAATTCATGTTATCAGGTTAAAACTAATGCAAAACAAGCGTCACCGAATGTTAGAATTTTTTTTAAACGACATTATCGTGAATAAAACAAATTTCGTGTGGGAATTTCTACTCGATTCCATTCCAGTTTTAACAAACAAAATGTGCCATCACCGAGCGCCGCTAGATAAGCGTTAGTGGGTCTCATAATGGGGCCAATGTCGGTATGTTGCAACTGCGCATGCGTCGACCAATGTCGTTGGTTTAGTTTGTCCGCCGCTCCGCCGTGTGGCGGCACTGTTGCGATATTCCGCTCCTGGGCTCTTCTGCTTATAATCGAGCGTTCAGATACCCCAATTTTCGGGAACAACACCGTCTGTGTTGCCAGCATTGCTTATCGTTGATAATCGTCAAATGATTTCTTAATATATCGCTTCGTTTGAGAGGCAATTAATGCAACTTAAACTAGTTCTATACCAAGGCGAGTTACATTAGATTGTGCTAAGGATTTGTTCTATGACGCAGTTCATTGAATCCTTGATCCGTTTTATAGTTTAGCACAAAATTTAAATAGAATTGTTTTATGGTGAGAAGTAGATTGAAGTCAGTTCTTACCGTATCTCCCGTGCATATTCCGTCGAGTAGGAGCTTTTCTGAGAACAAATTTCACCCAGAAAGGCAAAAAAATCTCGAAACGATCATATTATGTGATTAAACATCGTGCAAGTAGCCGTTTTCACTTACAATTGTATTACGTGCACAGATAATACACCGTGCGTTCCATAAAATAGGCATCACGTATCTGTACTCAAGTCACGTGTTATCTAATGTCTGTCAGTAGAGCTTACGAATTATTCGCTCTTTTTTATTTTATTACCACTTCTACTGTTTCATATTCCCTCGCGATGTTAATCCGATTTCAGACTACACTCGCACATACTAATGGCGGTGTCTCTACAAACTGGTATTTAGTAGGTTAATGGGCTCTCGCTGAATAATATCGAATAAAAGCTGGGCAGAAATAATTCCTTGCGTTTGCTCAGAAACCTCTGTTTTTAAAGTTCTATTAATGAACATAGTTGACTTATAGTAATGTTTTTGCACAGTAAGTACCGAAAGCGAGGGCAGTATCATAGGAACAGACAATCCACAAACTTTTTTCTTTATTGAATTAAGTATGTACCAATCCGTGGACTTCATATATGTTACAAATATGTATGTTTTTATGATTATGAAAGAAATAGATCCAATTTCATGTGTGCTCGCGTCTATAACTAAATTTTGTTATAGACATTTCATGTATTTCGATTCATACAAAATACAAACAGGTTTAAAGTACTTTCAAGTTTCGAACGTCGTGCGTATTTACATAGAAAGGAAAATTTGGTGCGATATTCGAATTATTTTGACTCTAGCATCTCAATCGATCGTTAGAGCTGGCCGGTTTAGGGAAAAATAAAAACGTCACATCACGACCACGAGATCTATAACACCTTACGTCAATAAGAGTCAAGTGCAAGCGTTCGGAGCGAACGAGGAAGTGTTCGCCGCTAATCCGTGGGTGGAGCTCGTGGGAGCGGAACGGCGTTAGGCCGTAAGCAGACTAGCGGATTGACCGTACCATTATTGATGCGATTCGATAGCTTCAGCACAATTTATAGCTCTTTTGTTTCTCTTTCGGTTTTCTTTTTTTTCTGAATGAAGTATTTTATATAGTTTCAATGATGCTTCCTTTAGTATTAAGTTTTTAAAGTGTTGAGTCCAGTAGTTAAAACGTTCATGATTTCGATTCTTTGTTATTATTTACGATAAATTCTTACGAAGACTACTTAGATTACGAAGATTTCTTTGTTATTAGCTGTAATTAGTCACAATGTCAATAGTCCCTTGTAAATGTTGTAATAAGTGCATGAATATCTAGCTATGTGAGCTGCTGCCGGCAAACTGTTGCGAAGTTTGATGAATTGTGTTAGTAGTATTTTTTTTTTGAGTAAATAAATAAAAAAAAAGTAGTTCTTACTCGATATACAGATTCGATCATTTCATTTATGTTAACTTCTAACATCTGATCGTATGGGACCTTCAGCAGTAGATTATTTAGACTTTCAATTTGATTGAAAATCTTTCGATTTATGTCCTTCTTATATCATTTGATACTTTGAAATATGTGACTATATTTCGGCGACTTTAGAACGCTGCGGAACAGTCGCGCCGCATAGTTTGGCCTTCCGCGTCTTATGCGCCGGCCGCTCAAGGCTAAACGTATTTTGTTCCGCGCTGTACACTCTGACGTAACGATCCAGATGTAGGCAGTCGTTCTTTGTAGGACTGAAATGCGACAGCGTGTTACGCAGCCGTGGGTCCCAATACCTTGGTAGATTTCCGTAGCGGTAAAAATAATCTAATTGCATACCCAACTTCAAGGACCACCACAAGGCTGAGAGTTAAGTTAAGTTTCTATATCGATCAAAATTATTTCAGATACATATTTAACATATCTTTTGGTTTCTCTCTTAATAATACATTGCCTTTACTGCAGAATAGAAATCCTGTAATAAAGAGGCGTTTTAAAAAAACAAATAAAAAATTTCAAAGACGCACATTTTGCAATAACGTGCGCAGTTCAAACATAAGGAATAATTAGAGGCCGCAATAGCAGCGGAAGTGATTCAAAAACTTTAAGGACACTTGCATCTAAACACGAGCATTACTTTTAAGGTTGATTGCCCAATTGCCAATACTGCGGTCATATTTTTCCTTAAGAAATAATAAGAAATGACGCAATACAGCGCACAAATATTAATTAAGTATACTAAATTAAAGCGCCAATGAAACTTTTCTTTTGGAGGTAGTGCCATAATTGCCAGTTTGATAACTCTCGTCGTATTCTCAAAGAAGAAAGGTATTTATAAATATTCTTCCATGAATGTTAACATCGTAAAGCTTTGGGTATTTGAAGGTTGGGTGATTAGTTATAGTATTAGTACTCGATATATAATTATTAGGTCTGTCTTTCATACACAAGATTCTGGACAGATATATTTTATAATTATATAACGTGTTGAAAATAGTTACGCAAACATTTCGTTAATATAAAATTTACTTCATCTAATACTACCGTACTTGATTTATTTGCAAACTTCTCTTCTAACGCTACTTTCTGACTGTGTCATTGATTACTATCAGGTTTAGTACTGAGTCTGCTTATGAGAAAGCAATCATAAGGGAACATATTCGTAAACTCTGATATACACGTAGCTTTAATTCTACGCCAGGTTCCATAATAGATTTTGTATTAAATATGTAACTAAAAATTACTATAATAATAACAATCAAAATAAGAAAAAAGACAACAGTTTGGAAATCTTTCAATTTGATCAAAGAATTTGACACAAAATCGCAACTTGTTTTCACAATCATTCTCTTGACACTTTTGAAAGACACATCATGGTTTTATCCGGTGATCGTATAGATACTGTAAAACTAGAAGGATTCAGAATGAAAACTTTTAGAGAAACGCGCTACATTCCGTTACGTGGCATTATAAAAATTGCGTAAATTAAAAACATACTGTCGAGGAAAGCTTTTTTGCACGAGACGTGGTTCGAACTGAGGCACTTTGAATCAAACGCGGGCCACCAAGGCTCTCGGTTAGCGCTCGTATCAACCGAATGCACCAGATCAAACATAACAAACAGTTCGTAGAGTTCTGCGAATTGTCTAGAGACCACCGGGCGTTGTAAAAGGGACTGGGCTATAACGTCGCATTTATTTGCGTACACTTCGATGGCCGTCCTCACGTGCAGACACGCTTTTAGCTTTTAGCTCTTTACACCAAGGTCGATTATTCCGTGGCGGCTCCTAATAAGTGGACCGTTGTTATATAAGACTAGGAGGTGACTCTTGCGTAAACTTATAATAACGAAGCGTATGATTAAGATCACTTGTACTTGCACGTTTTCTTTTGGAACATTACAATATTGTACTATATTTAGGACATCATAAAGATAGCTTTGTGCGTTTGTATTTTTATGTGACACGAGTTCTATTTTGATATCGAAATTGGTTTCGTGTAACTTCACAAAGTAATCAAATAGTATTCCGTAATATGAAAAATCTGACGATAGTTAACGTTTTGTTTGACATAGAGAAATCAGAAAAAAAAATTCAACTTTCAACATCGTAAAATTTGCAACGGATTCTCAAGTCGATCTTTCTTACATAGTTTACCTTTGACTTTATTAATCTCTATATCTCATTACAATGGGTAGTTTGTAGAGATTATTTTGAATTGATAAGACAAGACAAGTAATCAGTTTGTTTCTTTGTTCTAGGCCGCCAGTTCAAAGCGCATAAGGTTATACTGGCCGCATGCAGTAAACATTTCCAGGAGCTATTCGACACCGCGCCGCCTAGCCATGCCGGCGCTTGTTATGTCATCCTGGAGGCGACAACTGCAGAGAACATGCAGGCCCTCCTTGAGTTCATGTACAAAGGGGAAGTGCACGTCAGCCAGGATGCACTCTCCAGTTTTCTCAAGAGCGGAGAGAACTTGCAGGTCAGAACAACCACAGGCACAATATTAGACAAATAGGAAAGTACGGTAACGATGACTTTTGCATACTTTATTCAGCAGAAAAATCTGGAAGTAAACTTATTTTCACGGTACATAAATGTGATAAATCAATTGGTATTGACGATTTACGATTTTTTCAAGTTATATTGAATAATAAAACATCTTTCATGAATCCTTGACACTTACGGATTGACTAACAAAAAATAACCTTGGATGAGTGATCTAATTATGAAGTCATCTTCTACAACAGAAAGAGAATTCAAAACTTTCGCTAGAAAATCGAGGACAGGTAGAGTTTTCCCGCGTTGAGAATTTCGACCGCTTAACTTAGTGGCTAAAACGTCTGGAAACGTAATCCGGAAGGTAAAGGTTCAAATTGGCTGGCAGTGATCAAATTTTTGCGACAGTTTTATCTACACACTTTTCAGTTTCACATTAAAAATGCATAAACTAGCAAAAATGATAATAAATAACACCAAAAACTCAAGTAATAATGATCACAAAAGCACTCAGTTGTCATGACGTACGGAGCAGAGGTTTTAGATATTCCTCCGTATACCGATAAGCTATATTACGGGAGGCGCTTGTGTTGATCCCCTGCATATCACGCCCCCGTTCCAGGTCAAGGGCCTGTCCATGGAGATGTCCCAGGACGCCTGGGTGAAGCAGCAGACGCAGCAGTCGGCCGGCGAGCGGCACCAGGCGCGCATAAAGACGAGCCCCGTGTCCGGCTCGGGGAACTGCGAGGCGCAGGAGTCCACGCAGTCGCACACCGCGACGTTTGCGCCGATTATGCCGCAGTACGGCGTGCCGATACACGGCAGCAGCGGCGCCATGGGCCGGTACGCCCCGCCCGCCCATATGCCGATGCACCAGCCCTCGCACCGTCGGCCCGCCGCCCCGAAACAGACGACGCCCGCGCAAAGCCCACACGCTAGGAACTACAGGTACTACGTGATTCGTTGAAAGAAAAGGCGCGTAAACGAGATGGAAAGGAAGCTTCTAGAAAAGTAACGAAGGACTGCTTACATGACAAAACTGTATAATAGATATCTCTAACAAAAAACTTCTCTGGATGTTATATTTTTCTTCCCTCCCGTGTAACGAAATCTGCCTAAATGTATCACGTCCTTGAAATTTCACTCTCAATTCTCGTTTAGTTACCGAGATGTTACCTAAGAAGTTGCACTTCAAAACGCAATTGAAAATTAAAGAATTAGAACGCTCGTAATACTCGGGGAATCTGTTTTCCACGTAAATGATACAAGAGTTTTGTATGCAATAATCTTTCAAACGAGGATAGTGACGACGGTAATCCACACTATATAGGAAAACTTACAAACAATTCTTTTAGCATCTTTTTTAGTGTTTCATAAAATCTGTTTACATGATAGGCCATATTACTGATGTACCAGGGTAAGAGCTTAACTTTGAATTTTCCATGAATTAATTTAACAATTTTGGTACATCAACAAGATGAATTTAGACAATTTGCACATGATACGTTTTATTTTATTTGTGAGGCTTGGTGAGTGCCATCTCAATTATAGGTGCAAACCACAATGCAATTAAATTTAACGAAAATAGAACTTATCTAAAATATCGTCTATCGCGTATAACAGCTGTGGAAACATATGCAGGCAGAGCTCTTCCTCATCGCACTGCGGCAGTGTGGCTGACGAGCCGGACACTCGCTCCTCACCAGGGGCGGGCGCTCGGTATGAGGAAGCCCCCGCCGAATGCACCTCCACACTCGCCAACCCCATCAAGAACAACGGATACGAGCGAAGCGCCAGCGCCAACGAGGAGATGATGGATCGCCTGTCCACTGAACAGGGAGCTGAAGGTCTGATTTGACAAACCCAGTGTACATTGTTTTCAAATTTTGTCAAGGTCAATCTTGATCTGATGTTAAGATGATATATTGGTCTTAAAATATATCATGGTTCAGTCAATCTTGATCATATGTTGAGTGATCCAGTTTAATTTGCTAATAGTTACATTTTGACCTCAATTCATTCATATTCCTTAAACATGTCTATAATCAATAAGACTTCTGATATTTTAAATGTAATAAAAGCCCCTGTTTAAGCAAAGCATATTTGACAAATTGGGTTATGATTATTTTATAACATTACAAGAAATACCACAACCTCTCTTTCAGATTTACGGATAAAGAGTGAGAACGACTACCAGAGCGGCTACAATAATTCGCCACCGCCAACGCTACCGATACCGACGACAAATTTCCACGAGAAACCACTGGAGACATCGCCCGTGCCACCGAAACCCAGCCCCGACATCTGGCCCGCTAAGATAATAACAAGTAAATCTGGAGGAATTGCTACTGCTGATGGTAAGGAACCCTGAACATGCCATTTCATATATTTCTTTCGGTTAAGTCAGGGTCACGACTTTCTTCACTCCCGGTAAAAACTGGTACACGAAACTTTACCGGTATTACTTACATCATAAAAATCAGTTAGTTTATGTCAATCACGATACGGTAACCATGATAAAGATCAAAGACATTTCATAGCTACAATTGCATTCCGATACGAGTATTACCGAGTCCCGTCCGTTTCACGGTCTTATGCTGCTACACATACCGTCACATGTTGTTGTTTGCTTATTTTTATGTTTACATTTATTTTTAAGTTTTGTCTGTATAGTTACATTATTATTTTTAAGTTTTGTATGTATTCATTTTAGACCGTGAATAAACGTTTCTTCTTTCTTTCTTCTATACATATTGTCGAAAAACGGAAACGCCATAATTATTATTTAGATTTTTGTAGATCCACAGCTGCACGAATATTCTGGCTCGACCATAGCCGGGGAAAGGGATTTCGAAGTTTTGCCATGTTTCATCCCCTGTGTTAGGTAACGCCACCCTTTCAAAGGTTGACAATCCTTCAGCAATATCGGAACATTCAGTCCGCCGACGTCTCTCGTATAAGTATCGCCGTGGTGGTTAATAGTGCACGCGGCGCGACGGTTCCAGGTAAAAAGTTGAAGTGCCCGTACTGCGAGCGGCTCTATGGCTACGAGACGAACCTGCGCGCCCACATCAGGCAGCGGCACCAGGGCATAAGGGTGCCCTGCCCGCACTGCACGCGCACCTTCACCCGCAACAATACCGTGCGCCGCCATATTGCGCGCGAGCACCGCCACGCGGTCACCCAACTCCACCAACAGGGCCCACTCCCAAATCACACGCAGTAAGAGAAACACATTTATTCCCTACAAACTCTTTATCAACCGAACTACCTCTGCCACTTCCGACCGGCTCCCGTGACCCAAAATTGGAGTTTCGACTTTGATATTGTCCCGTTCGTCTTTCTAATTGGTTTCGTTGTCTTTAACGATGACAAATGGTCACCTTAGCCGCGTCACTATTTCTAATAAACCGTACAAGAATATACCTCATTGATGCATATTATGTAAACAGCCTACCTCAGAATTTTTGATCTTAAGATTTTTAAGGATTTCGGAACTTGTGCGATAATTGTTACTTAATTTTCAATTTTCGATGTATCACGTGTGACTTCGAACGGTTGCTCATCGCTCGTCTCCTCTACCTCGTTTTATTACCTCGGTACCGTGTTTAAAACATATAGTACCTAATTTTAGCACCTTTAATATGTTGTGTACCTTAATTTGACTGTGAGATAAAGTTACCTTTTATAGACGATTTATTTTGAGCTCTCGGTCGAGTAAGACATAGCTTATTTTATATTAACTGAGCTAGGAAATCTTAGAAATGATGTTGAGACTGATGGTCATAGGCTAAGTGTATGTAAATAATAGGAGAATATTGTATATCGCCTTGGCCTAGGTTGAGACTCGCGTTTAACACGACTATGTGGCAAAGCTTTCAATTTCTATAATTTTATTTGTTATCTGTACGCATTATAAAATAGTATGTAAATTACGGGTCTAAGTTTATAATTTTAACGCATCTGTGATACAATAGTGAACTGGCTCTATACCTTATTTGACTTTTGCCACATTGTCTTTGAAATATTCGTAGTGAGGGTTGAGATAAGCGGGATGACCGGCAGTTTTGTACTGTACAGTGAACACGAACGGTTTTAGTTTGTACAAAGTACAATTTTGCCCTAGATACATAAGTAGTTAGGTAAAAAAGTGTTATAAAATTTTGTGTGTAAAGTTTTGAAGCGTGAATGTTCTACAATCCGTTGCTATCGTTCGTATCAGGCTCGCCTGCTCGGATGTTACTATTGAGACCAAATAATTATATGTTTTAACGCGATGGTGTCGATTTTAACATTCCGTTATTTGTGTTTTTTTTATCGTAGTGCATTTAGACGAAGGCCACTTGCTACTTTTAAATACCTAGTCATTTCAAGTGCAACCAGTTGAGATTTAAAAGAGTAAATGATTATGTAATTTGTGGGCGTACGCCGGTGTTTATGTATTATAATTATGTTGAGCAAACGCCGGCGGCAGTCGTCTTTAAAGCTTTCCAGCATTTACTTTCCGATCTATACAATTGCTAAGATTAACTTGATGCAAATGGGACAGTGCCAAATATCCTCATTAAGTTCACATCTACTATTTATTTATATCCCTTATTTTTGTTAAGTGTGAATGTAGCGACTGAGTGTTATATTCCTGATATTTAGGAATGAGTTGCATTCATATTTATTATAATATTTATATTTTAGATTACACTGAATTATATTTTTATTACGAGAATTTGCTTTATGAAGGCTCAGTGATTTCTTTATTCCTTAGGATTCGTCTTTTTCATACGTAGGCATTTCATCTTTTGCAGTTACCTTTTTTTCGTAAAACGATTTACCGGTTTCGTTCTTTAAGTGTCAGGTTAGGAATGTTAGGGAGAAAAGGATCTTAATAAACACAACCTCACATTTTTTTCTTTCTCAGATAAAATACTACTATGTACTTGATTTGATTATTCATTATCAAACCATATCTTTAAAGTTAATGGCATTTACACCTCCGCAATAAATATATCACTATATTTTGTAACGATATTATTAAAATTTATATTTTGTATAAGTTAACTGTACTCTTGGAAATTATTTATCAAAGTTTTTACGAAATTTAGACGTATAATCTGTAACCGAATAACTATTCATTTTACTGAAACGGCGACGTCAAAATAAAGCAATAAACCAAAAAATATGCTCTTGAATGTTCGTTTCGGATTGATTGTTTGAAAAGTAACGGCGCAAATATCATCAGATATGATTTTTAAAATTATAACAGCAATAATAACAATAAAAAAAAACATCCAAAACACCTAACAAAGTCCTTATCAATATGAGACTTGAGAATTTAAATCTTTATTACTTTTAATATGTGAAATTGATGCAACCAAATTGGGCGAGAAACCAAGAGAGAGTGGTCAAAGCGCCTTTGTTGCTCTCCAACGTTTGAAAACGAGTAACGAAAGTAAATTATAATCGAGAGATGTGCTCAAATCTAAGCGATGAAGCGCTCTAGCGCTTCAAATAATTTCGGCCTTAACTCTATTTGAAACATCCCTGTGTGCGTTGTGTACTTTTTGAAAAAAGGTTTTGATTGGAACAGTCGTGGATTCACTATTAACAGAACTAGTATTTTGGACATGTCCATAATTATGGTTTTAATTCAAGTTACAAGCTACTCAATTTCCCCGTAGGCGTTCTATTGTTAAGACGATAATGTTTCTTTTTATTTTTCAATTGTGAATTGTTAATGATTATTTTCTATTGTAAAATTACTAGGATGAAAGATATTGTTCTGTTTTTGTCCTTTTGTTTTTCTTTTGTATGAATTGAAAATTCATAGTTGTGATTTCTTTTTGACATTTAATGTTTTTTGTGATACGTAAAAGAGAATTGCATTAATGCATCAACTTTTTAAGCTTCTTTTCTTTCGTTTGGTTTCGTATAAGTTGACCGAGACGCATGATTGGATAATTATGATGGATGACACTAAGGAGCGTAATCATATATTGGATTTGCGTATTTCTAAACTTGTAAGGTACTGTAGATTACTATGTTAACTGTCAATGTATTTCTGATTCATTGCAACAATATGTTTTATTAATCGAAATTTACTTTCAATGGACGATTGTACAAAGGTCAGTATACTAACATTGGGAAATAACTTGTCTAAATTAAGTTGACACATTGTTATGAATAATATATGGGGAGTAGTTATTAGACTTTCCCAATAATTGTAATGTTTTATATGTGATAAGTATTCACATTAGTCGGTGTATTGCAATCCCTGATTGAGCTCGGGTCAATCCCCATACCTCTGTGACTCTTTTATTATGTAAGGAAATTTTTGGTGAACGGTACGTCGCAAGATCGCGTGGATCTCATCAAATCTTTGGCGTACGTGGCCAGTGATTTCTTTTTAATTTATAATAACATGATTATCATCTTTGTTACTGTAGATAACATTTGATTCAGTTGATATATACATATATTTAATAATTTTATTAACATCCAACGAAACGCTCAAAACTATAGCTAGTGTTGGAATGAAATTGTTTAATTACGAAATTCGGAATTTTCTTAACCTGTCTCTTACTAGGCTTATTTGATAACCGTCTCGACTATGAACCATAGTTTTGTTTGCTTGTTATTTGACGTCATCTGGCATTTTTTATTGTTTATTCTCTATTGTGTTTAGTTTCATTTTAAGTTATCTTTAAATTGTAAATATATCGCGATATATCGTGATGGTAAAGCCAAAGATTGTTACGGGTATGGTGACCCTCTGCCGTCACATGGACTGGGCAGTAATTGTACATTCGTAACGGGTTCTACTTATAGAATGAATAACTCATCGGGTAAATTATCGATGTTTATAATGAACGGGGAACATACGAATGTATGCTACTGCCCAGTCCGTATAGCTTGTAAGTTTATCTACCTCGAGGATTATAATTTAGTTCGTAAGCTTTTAAATAGATTTTTATATGAAGAAAAAAAAAATGAAAACTAGACTAGTTTAAGTGTAATAAGAAAAATGAAAAAAATAAAGTACAAAAATACTACCTCAGGATTCAAGTTAGCGACGCGGATTTCTAAAGCCGTCACAGATTTTTTAAATCTATTTAATAATTATTAATTAATGTAACAGTCTTTAAGTCAATGTGAGCTGATATATTGTTAACTGAATATTAAGGAAACTATTTTATGTAATAATTGTTGAAAATTTAAATATAAATGTCCGATGTAAGGTCCAGGAAACCGTGAACTATAGAATGTGCACGTTTGATTGAATCTCTGAAGAGTAGTCAGTGCTTTCAACTCAGTGTGAACGCTCAATGGGGAATGGGTGGCGTGTTTTTCAAGAGCAATTCAAATCTACCTCTACCCTGAGTTGGGGTTCTAAAAATCTTAGAACGTAAGTGTTAATTAGGTTAGTTTTTAATAATCTCACTGATGTTCTACCTCATTTATAGCACATTGTGTGTCGGGGATTGGCCACGAGTGTTTTAACGTAATCTAATTGTACCTTTCTTCACTCTCCGGAGTATAAAACATTTTTATTCATAACTTTATTATTATTATTTTTTTCCCCCCAGTTACTTTTTGTGTTGCATAGATGTTACTATGTTTTAAGGAGATGAAATTGATGAAAAATTATTGTTTGTTAGGTTTCTGCGAATTAAAAAGTTGTAACAATTTATTTTTTTGTTTTTTGATTTTTTTCTGTTTCCTTTTTTTCCCTCTCGCTTTGCTGCATCCGATACCTTTTTTATTTCATCTCGACAAGTTACACCCGTCCATCGTGTTTAACGTTCATCGTAATCTTAAGAATTATTTAAGGAATTGGATTGTATTTTACGTACTTGCACTTACCTGGTCACCAAAATAGTTAAGGAATTATTCGATGTTTATATTCTAAGTACTAGTTCGATCATCTACTAGATTTCGAGAGTTAATCTCAACGAATTGGTTAATAAGGGACGTCTTTAATAATGTCCTTCGACATTAAATGTTTCTTAGACATAATTACTCGTACTCCGTTCTGCTTTTAACACATTGGATCCCACGAAGGAATATCATATGAGATTCTAAAACCGACATCAATTATTTTGTTTTTTTTATTACATGGTATTAATTTTGATAAAAGTTTTTAAGTAATCTTTTTTCTTCAAGCAATATGTATTAAATCACAAATAGGACAGGTTAACGAGGGAAATGGGAACATTTTAAGGAGTTTT